CATACTATATCCTTATCATTGAACCATTTCCTACTATTAACCATTATTCACAGTCATGATCCTTATGGGAGCATATCTTTATCATTGAACCCTTTCCTATTGACCACTATTCACATGATATTTATGACAGCATAATATCCTTCTCATTGAATCATTTCCTACTATTAACTATTATTCAGGTGACCTTTGAGGGAGCATAATATCCTTCTCATTGAATCATTTCCTACTATTAACTATTATTCAGGTGACCTTTGAGGGAGCATAATATCCTTCTCATTGAATCATTTCCTACTATTAACTATTATTCAGGTGACCTTTGAGGGAGCATAATATCCTTCTCATTGAATCATTTCCTACTATTAACTATTATTCACGTGACCTTTGAGGGAGCATAATATCCTTCTCATTGAACCATTTCCTATTAACAACCATTGGTCCTTCTTTCACTGTGATAACCAACCCCCTATTGTTTACTGGCATTTGCTGGGTGTGTGTGTGTGTGTGTGTGTCACTTTGTCCGTGACTGACCTCATATACTATACAATAACATCCATCCATCTCTCACTGCATAGCTGCGCCATCGTCCCCCCACCTCCCCCACCACCCCAACCCCGGCTGTTGACCACCGCCTGCGTTCACCATGACACCATGGCCAAACTGACTTTGTTGCTGTTGTTGTTGTTGTTGTTGTTGTTGTTGTTGTTGTTGTTGTTGTTGTTGTTGTTGCTGTTGCTGTTACTTGTGTCATCCTGTGTGGTGATGCGACACCAGGGTTGTGTTGATGATGAACGCAAACCAGCGTTTTTCCTGTGGTTTGCATTATCGAGATCAGCATCATCGTCATCATCATTATAGTAGTCGTCATCATCATCATCATCATCATCATCATCATCATCATCATCATCATCATCATCATCATCATTAACGTTAACGTTATCATCAACGTTATCATCATCATCGTAAATAAATCCTGCATTAAATATTTACAAAGTCTAACAAGAAATGTGGGGTAGGATTTCAGCTCACGTGATAACGTAGTTAGTTATGTACCATTCTTTCTACTGATGAGTTCCTGAAGTGGTATATTGCATTTGGTATTCTGGAACACATAATGTAGAGAAGTCTTTCTTTCATAACATGACTCTCCTTACAAGAATTAACCTCTGGCTTTTACTTATCCAATAGATATATATTCATTCCCTGAGAAGTTGTTAATAAGATTGTGTTATAAAATTAGTACGTAGAATAATTCAACAACGAATCTTATCTGAAGGGCAAATTCAAAGGTTGATTGAGGCTTTTTCGTGTTTCGATTTTATTAGAATGTGTACTTTATCTAGTCTTGTGACGTTCGTCTTAGGTCTAGATGTAGCCTCTTTATCGTTCTGTTTCAATGTTAGACAATACCTTACGTTTGGATATACGCATTACGTATGGACGTAACAAGTATTTTCATACCTATTAAGTATGGATCAAAGTATTAAACTACACGTTACAAATCCACATAAGTATTTAGCAGCAAATTATGTTTTCGAATGGACATAAGTTAGCATATTTAATTACATGTTGCGAATGAACATAGAAGTATTTTCCCCACCCATTAGGAAAAGGCATAATATGTGAGGCAGCGTGGTGGAATCAGGCTCTCGTCAATTTTTGAGCACATCAAGTTATTGGTATCATCTTAAAGCTTGTTCACTTGTCTTTATTTGAGTGAAAAAAATATCCGTTTATCTTAAATACAAGTCGAGATATTTGAGAATGAAGGAGGTGGGGGTCGCATGTTTTCAGAGGTAAAATTAGTGAGAAAATGGCCGCCAAAGATTAGTTATTTCCTTAGCTTAAGAGTCCGTGGTAACTGAAAATGTACATCTTTTGTGCCTTTAATTAACGTTTAAAAAAAATCCACACCGAAATGAGTTCTTTAATGGGCATTAAAGGTGTTGAGTCAAAAAACAAAAATTTTATTAAAATTCACAAAACTGCGGAAAAATGCAAGTTTTTTCACTTTGATTATTTTGACGAGAGCCTTATTTCACCTCGCTGCCTCACATATGTATTTAACTTCACATCCGTATGGGCTAAAGTATTGTCTTTTATATTACATGAGAAAATCAGCATTTTCTCTTTTTTTTTGCGTAAAACGTTACAATGGCTCAGCTATGCTGAGATTAATTATAATGTTAGCTTCTATCATATGAAATTATGCTCTGAATAACATTACGAACTATGATCTTATCAATTGAACTGATTTCAAGTAGTTCCCTAGTAATTTATAATCTCCACTGCACTATGGGTAATATATTGGTTACTGTTTCATCTATAAATTAGATCTCAGTTTAGAAGTTATGTTCGTAGATTTACACATGTATGGCACATATTGATTTTGGTGTGATAATGTGAGTCTTAGATTCATCTTTTTGTGCCTTCCATAAAATACTTCTGTGGCCCATGCCACATTTTTTGACAGCAAGAAGGGTTGGGTATTTTTCAAGTATTGTTCACAGATAAGCAGTTTACCGTTAATCGCATGGTTCCGTTTCTTATTTTGCTCTTGGTCTACAAAAAGAATTTAGAAACTAGTTGGACAACGACAGGGTAAAAAGATTGCCTATAGTTCTGTGTTTGATGCTTCTAGCAGCTTGCTTTGGACAAAAAAAGGAAACAAACTCACACAGCTTTTCTCACAGCGATGCTTTCCGTGGCAAGGGCGGGGTTTTCAAGCTTTTTCGTCTGCAAGCTGCAGCAGTGTTTTTCCCCGTTGTCACAGAGTGCTTGCTTACAGCTTGTTTGTTTGTTTGTTTGTTTGTTTGTTACAATGTTACTGGGAGATATTTTTGTACATTGCTGGCTTTTATCACTGTATACTGTAGATTTAGCTGTATTTTACAATATCAGGTGGGTGGGCGTGTAGAATTCAGTTACCTTAATGCGCACACGTTTCTTATCGAAGCGATTTTCTGAGATCTCTAAAGAACTCGGAGATTAATATACGTAATTAAACATGTCATTTATAAAGCGTTTTTCCATAATGTGTAATGCTCAATTCGCTTGATTGTTAAACCTAATGCAGCTGAAATACTTGTAGTTTTAAAGCTGTCATAGAAATCACGGTGGAAGATATCTAGGCTTAGCGTTGCCCTGATAGTTTAGGCTTTCCAGAGGCTAGCTATACCATCAAATAAGTGGCCGTACTTAATACTAACGACAGCAGAGCTGGATATTTTGTTCGTGCATTTGTAAAAGTGTAACTCTATCAGACGAAAATGTCTCATTTCCAAAGTTTAAAAATGTGACTTTTTGGAGGGCTAAAATAATGTCTGGTTCAGGAAAAACCTCTCACTATACGTCGGTGTAGGGATCTGACCATCCGCGGACAAATTGACACGAGTGGAAGAGGGATTGGGGGGGGGGGGGGGGGGGTCGTACATATGTAGGAATGGCAAAGACGCATAAAAGATGCCACTCGATGTCTATCTTACACTTTGACGTATTGTTG